GTGTAATATGATTTACACACAAATTCCATATTGTTGGGAGTTTTTGGTAACAATATATTTCTCATTGATGTAGTACATGTGTTTAGCGATATTTGATGTCGAACGAGGTTTTAGGAGGAGTGAGTTTACTTGATCACTTTTGATACTTGATTCTGAAATGTGAACTTGCAATACTCATAAAACTTATCAGGGCAAATCAGTATTTTTTGGTTTTGTGCTTTTCAACATTTTGTTTTTTGCGTTTGATAACTGTAATCTTTAGGTTACTGATGCAGGTTATTTGAAACACTCGTTCTAATATGACGCTCCTCGTTTGCTCTGTAAACAAAGCCGTGTTCTAACTACAATTAAACATGGATTACACGTGTTTGACGTCACAATTGAATTTGATTCAATCCTGGCAGCTGTATTTTGAACGAGACCACAGATCAATATGCATATTTGTGGGTTTATCTCTCCGGGAAATTAAACAAAATCCTTTCATAGTAGGTCTAAATGTACACTTTTTGATAGGGAAATGTTTGGTCTCCTAGAATATTTGAACCTCATGTAATCAAAATAACTGACTTTCGAATTTGTCTTATATATTCCATTCGATAGATGAAAAATTTCCAATTAGAATGTCTTTACTCCACCATACCACATGAAAATTTAAAAACCCGTCTTAAAGAAATATTAAACAATGCTTTCCTTATTAAAAATAGTATCATACGCTACAAATTAATTTTTTTGGAGATGTAATTCTTCATGTTTTGTAAAACATTAGCCCGAAATTAACACATGCTACTCCGAAGAACAAGTGATAAGTATGCTGCAGTATCTCATTGACAACTTATTTGTCGAACTTGGAGGTAGATTTTTCTAGCAGGTTGTCGGCATTCCTATGGAAACCAACTGTGCACCACTCTTGGCCGACATTTTCTTATTTTCATATGAGTCGTTGTTCCGTCAGACACTTGCAAAATACAAGCAGATCAAAGAAGCTAGATTATCTAATTTCACAAACAGGTATTATGGTGATGTTTTTTTTCCATTTAGTAAGAAAGAATGGCTCCCACTTATATATCCTTCTGAATTATAAAGTAAAGAATCCACATACACAGCTTCCTCCGCATCATTTCTAGACATTTACCTCGAATTTGACAACAGCGGTCATATCAGTACCAGGTTCTTTGACAAACGAGACGATTTCAATTTTGAAATTATAAATTTTCATCACCTCAGCAGCAATATACCAGCTTCACCCGCGTATGGAGTATACATTATGCAACTCATACGATATTCAAGAGCTTGAACTGCTACTTAGACTTTGTAAAACGTCATCGGTGTCTGAGCAAAATATTAATGAGCCAGTGTCAAAGAACGTCTCGTTCGTTTTATCAAAAAGATCTTCGGAAAGTACTCAGACCTAATAGATAAATATTCAGTGTCTACCTCACAAATAATACAAGATGATACATGTATATCTTTACATATTCTATGTTCATTTAACTTACAGAGCGTTTTTTTTTATGTAATTCTATTAAACTTTTGAAAGCGACGTTTTGCCTTACTCCATGGGTATACGAGAGATACAACCAGTCAAATTAAGTATGCATGTACCAAAATCGAGTTAGATTTCAGAGATTTAGAATCAGACATGTGCACTTTGTCTCATTCAAGAACATGATTTATAACTTACTTTTCTGATATTCCCCGTTGATAAATTAAGAAATTATTAAGAAACTGTAGACCATTTCGGTCATGTAGCTCTAAGCGCATAAAAGCTTTTTGAACGCTGGAATTATTTTTAGACAGATATAAATAAAATTATTCATAGCATCAATCCAGTTGACATATAAGAAATATGATGTGTCAAGTATAACTTACTTAAATTCCCATATCATGTCAAAAAAATAACCAGACCTTACACAAATCTAGTAACAAAGAGACGATTGATACCGAAGGGACAATCATAAATAATAAGTCGAAAAGAAATCAACAACACCATTGCCAAAAACTAAAACGAAGAGAAGACAAAATAACAGATCACAAAACATAACAAGACTCTTAAGGACTAAGCTTCGCGAACCCCATCAAAAACCGGGATGATCCAAGGTGCTCTGGAAGAGTAAAGATTTTCTCATTGTGTCGGATATTGTCATGCTGCACTTTGCAAGGGAAGTTTCGGTGATCATTGAGTAACAGAAAACATGATTTTTAATTCAGCGTAAACAAATCTAGGGTCATCTCTTATACAAATACTCCAAAACGGTCAACCAAATCATGGTAGCGTCCTTAATCTCTCGAAGGGACTTCAACTTTACCACTAGGAATCCTTTGTGCATTAGCTTTCCTGTTAGCTGCAGTCCTCTTTCAGGGGAATCATTCAATATTGCTTCAACTGAGAGATATATACTCTATATTGAGGTGCTGTTTTTAATGTTTCTAAACAGAAAAATATAAATTATTACTAGCCAAGTAGCTAGTTCTTCAGGACTGGCAAGACAATACGGTTATCGTTCGATTGAAATTGCTATAATCATAAAAATCCGAAATCTTTTTGAATTAAGGAATGTATCTTCCTCGTGCATAGAGGCCTCGGTGGCCGAGTGGTCTAAGTAGTTACTACTGTAATCACTAGCCAGTCAACACTGAGGTTGTGAGTTCGAACCCCGCTCGTGCGGGTGCACTCGACTCCAATCTTAATTGACAAGGATTGTCAGTTTTCCTATCGAAGGTCGATGGTTTTCTCCGGGCACTCCGGCTTCCTCCGCCTATAAAAACTGGCCGCCACGAAATAGCCCAAAAGCGGTGCTTAAAAGTGGCGTTAAAACACCAAAAATCAAAAATCAAAATCCTCGTGCATACTTTTTTGTTGGTTTTTACTGGCTTGTATGAGATTTTAGACTATAATTTTTATTATCTTGAGCATGCATCTCTAAAGAGATTTATTGTCAAAATGCGCATCTGTTGAGGTAAAATTAGTACCGTTAATGTTATTAAATTCAAGCAATAACTTATATACAGTGTCATTTAGTGTTTTCCTTTGGTTGTATTGCCTTCGATTGATATTATGGATGCACTTCCTGTTTCTTTTTTGCAACTGCTCGAGAAAACAGGTGTATTATTTTGATACTTAGGTCAGTATTTTTTCTTGAATACTAAGAAAACAAGTGTATTCTTGAGTACTCAGAACACAAGTTTATTTTTTTGGTACTCGGAAACAATTGTATTCTTGGGTACTCAGAAATTAAGTGAATTCTTAGGTACTCAAAACAAGTGTACTCTTGTGTACTCAGAAAACAAGTGTATTGTTGGATACTCAAAAAACAAGTGTATTCTTGGGTACTATGAAAACAATTGTATTCTTTGGTACGCAGAAAACAAGTGTATTCTTAGGTTCTCAGAAAATAAGTGTATTATTTTGTACTCAGAAAACAAGTGTGTTATTGAATACTAAGAAAACAAGTATATTGTTTGATACTCAGAAAACAAGGGTATTATTTGGTACTAAGAAAACAAGTGTATTCTTTGGTACTCAGAAAACAAGTGTATTCTTGGGTACTCATAATACAAGTGTATTCCTGGGCACTCTGAACCAAGTGTATTCGTGGGTAGTCAGAAAACAAGTGTAGTCTTTGACACTCAGAAAAAAATTTTATTCTTTGGTACTCAGAATACAAATGTATTCTTGGGCACTCTGAAACAAGTATATTATTGGGTACTCAGTAAATATGTGTATTCTTAGGAACTCAGAAAACAAGTGTATTCTAGGGTAATCAAAAAGTAAGTGTATACTTAGATACCCAAAAATCAAGTATGCTGTAAGTTACTCAGAAATCAAGTGCGTTCTCGGGTATGTCTCTTCACGGGTACGTTGTTTCGGATTTTTTTCCTTTATTATATTCTTGTGCGTAAGATAAGAAAAATGACGGAAGTAACCAAAGGGACTAGCAAAATTTATAAGTCGACGTGTAAATGACAACACAATCGCATAAAAACGACTAAAATGCCAACGATAGTCTACAAAGTACTTCAAAGTAAAAGTACATAACTAGTTATTAATGGATAATTATTTTTAGATACTAAAATATTTTTTTAGCCAATAAGTATAATGAAATATTAATTTCCTTATTAAACGGTTATTGATAAATGTATGTCAATAGCCCACGCATGCAAATTATTAAAGATAACACATAGAAATAAGTTTAAAAAAATATATGTAAATCTATTAAGGTGATTAATTCTTTAGCAGGTCTTCATGGTTAACCTTTGTTTATCTGTTTTCTATTATAATAACTAAATGATTTTGGATAGTAATAGTAACATTCTTAGGTTATCATGTGCACACATTATTTTGTATACTATGTTTTATTATTTCATTCTTTGTACCAATGGGTATACAGTGGTTTTCAAGAATAAAATTGTCTTGTCTTGTCTTGTCTCGTCTTGTCTTATCTTGCAACAAACATTAATCAATTGCATGCTTGGTGGTATACTGATTAATTAGACAAAAGAAGAAGACGAGAAGAAGAAGAAAAAGAACAAGAACAAACAAAAATAAGAACAAGAAAAACTTGTCGTAAATTGGGAATGTTTTACTAAAGCAGGACAGGAGTTTTGAGTAAAAAAAAAGGCAAGATGAGACACCTGCAAAAAGAAAGTCAGGATGACAATTTAGGTAAAAAAAAGTCAGGATAAACTTTAAAAAAACAAAGGCAAGACCGAATAGAGTGAAAAATAAAAAGGCAGGACAGAGAGTATAACTAAAAAGAAAATGCAGGACAAAATTTTTCATCCTATTATTTCCTGCTTAGATTTTTGAGGAATAAACTAATCATGTTAATTGTTTAATTCTAAAATAACATTGAATTTTGTACCAATTATCTGTTTCCTATAAGGTTAAATTCTGACATTATTATCATATGTATTGTATAGTTGGCGTTCACATACAATCTACAAATATGGATATTATGATTTTATATGTGACAGCACTTGTCAAGTCAGTTCTCGTGTGAATCTGGGATAACCAGTACACTCCTAATTGTTGAGTACGTTTAGACTATATATAAGTTTAGCATATCAACTGGTACTGTAAAATAGATAGATATTTTCTGAAGGAAGAACTAAATTCTAGTTTTGTAAGTGTTAAATAATGATAGTATTTCATTTTATTGTATGATAGAATTATAACTTTCTCTAAGTCTATATAGTATTTACGTTGGTTTAGTCAAGTATTGTCTTAAGAGCCTACTTTTACAATTTGATAAATCTTTGTGTTGCTTGATGAACCCAGTGTAGAAAAAACAGGAATTGAAAAGATATTTGTATGATCTATTCTATGTGTTTAAAGGCGATTATTGAAATACAGGTTAAAGAACGACAGGCCACCATACAGAAAAACACCAATCCCATCAAAACTCCAAAGTAAAGTCAAGTGGGAGGGGGAAGGGGAGGGGTAAGCTTTCATTTTCTGGTTCCTTTTATGACACCGTTGTGTTACTGACACATGCTTAGTTGTGAATAAGAATGGAATGTAATCAAAGATATAATTCATAACAAAAACCATGTGTTTTTAAAAATACCTCAGGGATTTCAATATGAGGCGATATATAACTGGGTTTTATCCTTTTGAAATATTTTTCTTGTACCGCTTGGAAATTGAAGTATTTAGTCCTAAGTCATTTAGTTGCATATAGCTTAAAGCACCCATTAAAAGTTTTTTTTAAATGTCTTACATCTAATAAATTGCTAGTTTCTATATTATTAATGTTCATCCTAACCGTTGTAATTCCGTTTGATGTTTGTGGATGTCTTCTTTCATTTTGCAAGATTTCAGTTTATCATTCATGTTTATACTTTTTAAAGGTGAATCAACATTCAATAATTAGTAAAAAAAAATACTAAATATCTGAAATCGGATAACCAGTCGTTTTGTATCAGTTGCTACTAGTTGAGAACCTGGGTGGTGTTTACAGAAAAGAGAATAATTGTGCTATCATACAGAAAAATGAGCCAAAAATTTATAAACACTGTTTTATAAAAAGTAAAATCACAAAAATACTGAACTCCGAGGAAAATTCAATCGGAAAGTCCATAATCACATGGCAAAATCAAATGACAAAACACATCAAACGAATGGACAACAACTGTCATATTCCTGACTTGGTACAGGCATTTTCAAATGTAGAAAATGGTGGATTGAACCTCTCACTTGTACGACAGTCTCATCAAATTCCGTGTTATTTACAACGATACGTGAACAAAACAGACATAATAAATAAAATAGTCAAAATATGGGTACAGCAGTCATCACTGTGTTACAATCTCAAAACAAACAATCATTTACAAAAAAGCTAAAAAGCATCTATCAAATTAAAAACCACATTCATTGCTTCGCGTGTCTGACGTCAGAAAATGTAAACGTCACATAAGAAGAAATTTTGTCGTTCAATGTTTATTCAAAACAATTTTATAATTTCACATTGGGAATCTTGGTATACAGGGTTAAAAAATCAAAAGCTATGTTAGAATTAATTTCAGAAATAGACCGAGATTTAAAATTGTCCAGAAGTTCTTTAGAATTTTTAAGAATCCACATATGGTTAATACCACTACGCGAGTAAAATAAATTTGTCGTTTGTCGTTATAAAGTTATTCCTTATCAATGACCAAGATATCATCTAAATGATCGTATCTGTCTGGTGAATTAAATATCATACTGTTGTTTATAATACCACCTCAAAATTTAAGAGTTGTCAATGAAAAATAAATGTATGCACATACACATGCATATAAATAGCTAGTAAATACTGTTTATGAATAAAATAAGACATGTGTAAGAATATATATATTTCTGTTGAAAGACCTATTGTATTTGTTCTGATTATTATTAGGTCTTTCCACTTTTCTGTGGAAAGACCTATTGTATTTGTTCTGATTATTATTATTTTCTTCCGCCAAATTTTGTTCTCGCGTCAAGTTTTTGTTTCGCAACATGTCGCTTAGATATTTCTTATATAGTATCATACAGTTTATGCGCTTTTTATTTTCACCCATTCTTAGCCGAACAATTTTCTTTGAAGGAGTTATCTCCCCGAACACTGTTTTCCTTGTGATTGCATCTCCTCTGTAACCGTAAAAGAAAGCGACAAATTTATTTTATAAAATTGCTCGTTATATCCTTTGCATGGTTTGTCCTATTTTGACCGAAGCGATATGAATATTCCATATGAGAGTTATTTCCCCTTATGCATTTGATATAAGTGATATCTAAGTTTCTATCTTGTAAACCATAAGTGATAGAGACCTAGGATCTTTTGATTTGAGGTCCTTGATCCAAAAATAAGAAAATTAGGTCAAGGTCAGAGGTCAAGGTCATATTTTAAATTTTGATTTTGGCTTATTATCAATTCTTTTCAAAAACCGTATAAGATATCGACAACATATTTTTACTAAATTGTAAGTTGCGACATGTCGTAACACATAAATTTTGGTTAAAAGGGTACGCTTACATTAAATTGGAGTTTTTCTCCCCTCGTTTATTAAAAGATAAGCATATAGTGATATAACTCAATAACCATATATAATTTAGACCTATAGTCTTTTGATTTGAAGCCCTTGGTTTATGATCTTGAAATTGAGCTCAAGGTCATAGGTAAAATTGACGTTCTAGATTTTGACCTTTGCTTTTACCTCATATGTATACATGATAAAGCCATGGGACTTTTTGCATTACGTGGCAAGCCACTTTACTATGGAAAAGCCAACCGGAAGTGACCTGGTGTAAACCGGAAGTAGCTATTTTTTGTACTTATTTAATGTAAAAGTATATTGAACCATATATTTTTGGAACCAGTATCAAGTAAACTATCAAAAAAACCCGGAAGTGACATTTTTCAAACCGGAAGTAACAGTATACCTCCCTTATTTAGAAAAAAAATGTATAGAAACCATATATTTTTGGAATCAGTGTACAATAAGCTTTCATTTGACGCTGGATATGATAATTCAAACTGAATTTTCATAGTTCTATATCAAAATTGATCTTTATGGGTGGAAAGACCTTCAATTGTTCTCTGAACAATTGGTTTTTAATTATTATTATTATTTTTTTTTTTTCTTCCGCCTAATTTTGTTCTCGCGTAAAATTTTTGTTTCGCAAGATGTCGCTTAGATATTTCTTATATAGTATCATACAGTTTATGCGCTTTTTATTTTCACTCATTCTAAGCCGAACAATTTTCTTTGTAGGAGTTATCTCCCTGAACACTGTTTTCCTTGTGACTGCATCTCCTCCGTAACCGTAAAAGAAAGCGACAAATTTATTTTACCAAATGGCTCGCTATATCCTCAGGATTTGTTGTCCAATTTTGACGGAAGCGATACGAAGACTCCATATGAGAGTTATTTCCCCTAATGCATTTGAAATAAGTGATATGCATTTGTAACTGGTAAACCATAAGTGATAGAGACCTAGGGTCTGTTGATTTGATGTCCTTGGTCCTAAAGAATAGAAAACTAGGTCAAGGTCAAAGGTCAAGGTCATGTTGTGATTTTTTACATTAGGTTCATATTGCTTCTTCCTAGAAAGAGTTATAGATATCGACAAAACAATTTAACCAAAAAGTTTGTCGCGACACGTGTTTACTAGAAATTTTTTGTCGAAATGGTATGCGTCATTTTATTGCAGGGTCAATGTCCCTGTTATGGTCGAATCAACAAATTACTTATCAAAATTTCAAACTTTGCAGCTATCATGTTGTAAATGTTTCTTATCTCAATAATGAACCACAGTCTACCACTACACTCCCCCCCCTTTTTTCAACTGATTTTTTTTTTAAGTTATCCCATTTCAAAGAAAAGAAGATCGCTTTTAGTCCCGTACATTATACTGTAAAATGCTAATCCTTCTTATGTACAAATTTCTTTCTGAAATAGAAATCCATCCCTGCAAAAATCTGCTCCAATTCATGTATTTTCTGAAATTAATCGATGAGGCACGTGCGGTCCGCTTGATTGCGAAATTAAAATCAATGTATTACTGAAATACTACACTCAAATTTCTAAACATGCATTAAAATACAAATCTGTGCTCCCGTAAACATGTGTACGTAATATGTATGCATGATCCGACATCAATGACCTGTACAAAATAAAAACAATAGTTATCGTGTTTCTTTGATCAATACACATGTGCTCTGTTCAACGGTCTCCCTGAAAAGAAATTAATATTAACTCCAGACATATATATTCGAGGGTCACGTGACTTCACAACACCATCTCGCGCGCGGACATAAATTTAGAATAAAACATTGCATATCCAAATGAGGGAAAATAAAACTTCCAAGATAAAATTTACTCCGTTTTCCTACAAATTCAATCAAAATGCATACACAACAAATAGATGACAAATGGAAGTCCGAGGTAACATAGAAACTAGAGAAAATTTATAAACGAATGATGCTAGGATCAATTTTTATGAGGACATCTCAGGCGTCCGTTTGGCTGTGCGGGATGTCTAAGTACGCAGTCACGTTCGGTCAGAATATAGGCGTTATTTAAGTTATCTGCGTCGCACAGAGAAAGTGCCATGCAATCAATCAATCAATCAATCGATCAATCGACCGACCGACCAACCAACCAACCAACCAACCAAGCAAAAAACCAATTAATCATGTTTCGGAGGGGAAAGACCGTTTAACAATTGTTTTTAAAACAATTGATTTATATTTACATGTAGTGTTTGTACCTATTTTTCAGTACACTCTCTTGCTCTAAGTATTTTTGCAATATAGAAATGTTGCATATCGACTGGTTTTGTAATAACTTAAAAGATAGATATTTTCTTAAGGAAAACTTAACTATAATTCTATAAATATATTATTTGTATCGTATATACGTTTAGTCAGACAATTTTGTCTTATTGAGTTTTAATGACAATTTGATTTTTTTTTTAATTGATTTCGGTAAGAGAGGATATGGGTGTGGTTAACAGAATAGAGAATTGCCCAAAATTTATTTGGGAAAATGGTAAACTCAGGTGTTCCGGAGAGGAAAGCAGCTCCTGTTCATTTGTAACATTGTCGCGTTACTGATAACGAGTTTAATTTAATTTAAAAACAAATGTAATCAAAGATAC